TAGAAGAATCAATGAGTTCATATATACTTATGGGGAAAGGTATGTTTTTATATTTAATAATTTCCTACATACATTTGTACTGTTGCTTCTTTTTATTATTACTAATTCCTCCTTGCATCATATACTATTTTGTAAACATCTCTCATGCTAAAATGGCTAGTGAATATCTTAACAATGCTCAGAAGCAGCCTAGTAAAACTTAAATGCAAAGATTTTTAATGTATGTGTTTGAATAATTCCAATTAACTGTACGGCATTAAAATACAAGAGGTGGAGTGCTTGTCACAGTTATTGTAAAATCGTGTCATAAGACCAATGTCAGGCTAATTGTGAAACGGACTCCTTCGTATAAATTATGTGTCTCATGTTTAAGATAAAAACATAACTGTTGTAATGGATGCCAATCAAACCTACCAAACCACTATCTTCGGAATTGATGTCTTATTGTGGATTAACAGTTGATCAGCTTTTTTTTTATATCTGGTACTATTTTGTTTCAACTGTAGATAATTAATTTGTTGTTCACCTCATTTTAGGGGTGTCAATTTAGGTGTGCAAAGTAATAAGTTTAGAGTTTGAAAGACAACTAGTAAATAAATTATACAGTTGTGTATGCTAAATCGAAATATGGCTTCAAAATCCGGATTTGACCACCCCGAGCTATTTATATTTTGAGTAGAAATTCACGAAAACTTGCAATTTTTGCATATTTGTATTGTATATAACGACATTTTATGAGAGAGTCAGGTTACCAGAAAGGTTTTTAGAACTTTACCAAGGTGGTCATGTCTTCCTTGTTCCTGTTTATGGACATGAGTTCCCTACAGGCTACCTGGCCCCTGATGTACGCTTCTCTCCTCTCCTTTCAGTAAACATGTTGTGCTGCTTCAGTTGTCATCCTCACACACCTCTCTACTGACTGTGTGTGTGAGGGCCATGCAGGAACTTCCATTGGTCTATCCAGAAACTCCATGATTGCAGCAGTGGTGAGGGAACAAGTCAGTGGAGGCTCGGTTACTCCAGAGTTCCATTCAATAAGCTCCGAGAGTTTGGTGTATTATGGGTTAACGTCAGGAGTCCTCCTGGACCTGACACTGCATTCTCCTACTTGTGTGTCCTTATCTCCTTCACCTCTGATTTCCAGTATCCTTTTCACAGCTTTCCTCCTCTCCTCCTTCACCTCATTGCACAGTATGGCCTTGAGCACAGCCTCAGAGTGTGCATACCATGCTGATATCTTTACTGTAGGCATCACTATTCCTACCACATCCTTCGTCGGACCCTTTGAGCAGTTTCAGCTGGCACCGTACATGCTTGGGACCCTCCACCCAGCTCTGATTTAACTATGAATTCCACAATTATCCTCAGATGTTTCAGCCCTTCAGCTCATGTTTGGAAATCCACAATTTTCAGAACCTTAGAGCAGTGGTGAGCCACCTACTGTGACAGACTGGCCCAATCTCCAAGAGAGCTAGACTCTGAATTACCTCTCCTGATCTGATGGCAGTGATGATTCTGTAGCCAAATGTTTGGTCTGTGCTGAGATCCTTGACTACCTCCTGAGCGAGATTGGGTAGAGGAGGACCAACAGTGATCCTCGTGAAGTTTGGGTTGATCTCCAGTTCAATGGCAGTGTCTAACACCTTCCCTAGGGGCCCGACCTCCTGTTGTTTCTCAATGTCTCTTCATCCAGTACAGTCACTTGGTGTCTGAGACTCAACTCCCCTGTGTGCAAGTCACAGACAATCCACACCAACTTCCTGCCGAGCTTGGCCTCCACATAATGCATTACTCCTCCCTCCCAGCCAGTATTCACATTCGTGCTATCACCTCCTATGGCCAAAAGGATCTGGTCTGCTCCTCTCTCTTTTAGCCAGTTCACTAAATGATCAACAATGACCTCAGCATGACTTCTCTCCTCTGTAACTTCCTCTGGTATAAAATGCCACAAGTATTTCCCGCCTGGTTCATTGCACACTGTGTAGTGTGTTTCTTTAATTAAAGCTTATTCTGCATAAAACAATGAAGAGAGTAATGTTGAAATGTCCTTATTATCTAAGATTATAGATCTAAAAGAATTTATATCAATATGATCAGTGAGGTTTCGACAATAACGATTTAGATGAACTAAGCTGTGAATAGAATGAATATTCCTAATACAAGTTGAATGAAAACGTAAACCTCCGTGCTATATACAGTACAGTGTGGTTGAGCAAAGAGTACATTAAATTGGAGGATGAAATCCATGGATAATTCTACACGATAATTTCTCTATGGTAAAATGACCGGTTTGCATAGTTTCCATGTTACAATACATTTAAGATGTATTAATGAGAGTGAATTTGAAGTGAAACCCCCTCCCCCTATAAGTGACTTTATCTCATTCGGTCGTCACGGTCCCTATTTCATTGCACCTGTGTCAGCCATCTGTATAATACTGCACTGCTGTATATAAGACATCTAAGAATAAATTAATACAAAAACCTTTCGGTGGTTTCACATCAAATTCACTCTCATTAATACAACAGCATCAATGTATTGTAACATGGAAACTATGCAGAAACTGACATTTTATCACAGAGACGTTGTGGGTTAGAATTATCCAAGGATTTCATCCTCCAATTTAATGTACTCTTTGCTGAATCACCCTTATAAAGTATGTAATTACTCAGGACCCTAAGAGTATTGAAGCGGATAATGTAAATAGTGTGTATATGAGGAAGTCAACTGCGTGTGTTCAGCGAGGTTATCATCAGCTATACGAGAATTACAAATATTAATTATATGTTTCATATCTCTCATCCATCAGGCAGTGCTTTTAGCTCTTATAATTTTTCCTACCAAGGCTAAAATACGTCTAATATTTTTCATATATATAGGCTATATATATATATATATATATATATATATATATATATATATATATATATATATATATATATATATATATATATATATATAGTTTCTCTTGACCATTGTATTTATTTGTTACTTTCATTTTCTTCATTTCCGCAATATTTTTTAAGACAGGGTATTTATTTGATCATTTTATTTGTCTAATAGTTTACACATAATCCAACGTTTGCATTAGAAAGCAGCGCTCTTTTATAAATCCGTCTTTATGTTAATTATAGCTTGGGGTGGGCGTATAGGTAGGGGCAGGCCTATAGGTAGGCGCTGGCTGATAACTGGGGGCGGGTTGGTAGGCTGAGTACTGGGCCTCACCCTCATATTCAACTTGAGCCACGTAACCGGAGTCGCCGTTCACGGTGTAGGTAACCCTCTGCAAACGACCGTCGGGAAGCTGAACATAATAGGATCCCTGAGTATCGTATCCATTACGACCTTCGTTGTGGCCGTAGTCGTTGCCGGAGTTTGCGTCGTTCACTGACCAGTCAAAGTTGTTCTGGGCAGGACCCTGGAAGTCAAAATGATTCACAAGTCAAGTTATAATCGTAGCATCTCATGGAAATAAATAAAAAATATCGTAACTTAAGGACAAGGACAATTTAACGGATTAAATAGTTTCTTTTTATCATAATTATATTGAAAAATAAAATCGTAGAGAAAATATGATTCAGTCATAAGATATAAACACACGCGACAACTTACAGTAGGGGCAGGAGCGTTGTAGGAGGGATGTGGAGGGGTGTAGGGGATAGTGTCAGCGACAGTGACGGCCACAAGGGCAGCGATGACGAAAACCTGAAAACCACCGAATCATGAGGTAATTCAAAGCAAAATAGTACCTCAAGTTTTTTTTTCAAAGCACAGTGATCACAGCAATATACATCATCCCCATTTGTTTACCTTAAGAACCATGTTGAGGTGTGAGGGAAGAACGAGACTGGTGTCCACTGATGGACGCGCCAGGTTTATATACCGGAGGCTCCGCCCATCTTGTCGTGACGTTAAATGTAAGAGGGAAAGCAACAGAGACCTTGACCCTGTTAGTGACCAGGGGACTTGGCCACCATTTAACAACTTGCTGAGGAGGCCAGAGAAAAGATAATACATGAGGAGCTTAATGACATCCATCACACTCCTAGAACGAAATCGGTCATATTTCTTTTTAGCATTTGAAGCATCTTGTATCGCTTCACTCATGAGGATGTTCATATGTGTGATTTATGATTGAGTGATTTCTATTTTGGAGTTGCACTTTTATAGAGAATCAATGAGTTCTTATGCTTACTTATGGGGAAAGGGTATATTTTTTATATTTAATAATTTTCTACTTCACATTTGTGCTGTTGCTTTTTGTTATTACTAGTGATTCCTCCGCTGCATCATATACTGACACCCCCTTAAACATCTCATACTGAGTAAGCTAGTGAATATCTTAACTATGCTCAGAAGTAGCCTAGTAAAACTTAAATGCAAAGATTTTAATATATGTGCTTGAATAAATCCAATTAACTCTACGGCATTAAAATACAAGAGGTGGAGTGCGTGTCACAGTTATTGTAAAATCGTGTCATAAGACCAATGTCAGGCTAATTGTGAAACGGACTCCTTCGTATAAATTATGTGTCTCATGTTTAAGATAAAAACATAACTGTTGTAATGGATGCCGATCAAACCTACCAAACCACTATCTTCGGAATTGATGTCTTATTGTGGATTAACAGTTGATCAGCTTTTTTTTTTTTTTTTTGTACTAATTTGTTTCAACTGTAGATAATTAATTTTTTGTTCACCTCATTTTAGGGGTGTCAATTTAGGTGTGCAAAGTAATAAGTTTAGAGTTTGAAAGACAACTAGTAAATAAATTATACATTTGTGTATGCTAAATCTAAATATGGCTTCAAAATCCGGATTTGACCACCCCGAGCTATTTATATTTTGAGTAGAAATTCACGAAAAACTTGCAATTTTTGCATATTTGTATTGTATATAACGACATTTTATGAGAGAGTCAGGTTACCAGAAAGGTTTTTAGATCTTTACCAAGGTGGTCATGTCTTCCTTGTTCCTGTTTATGGACATGAGTTCCCTACAGGCTACCTGGCCCCTGATGTACGCCTCTCTCCTCTCCTTTCAGTAAACATGTTGTGCTGCTTCAGTTGTCATCCTCACACACCTCTCTACTGACTGTGTGTGTGAGGGCCATGCAGGAACTTCCATTGGTCTATCCAGAAACTCCATGATTGCAGCAGTGGTGAGGGAACAAGTCAGTGGAGGCTCGGTTACTCCAGAGTTCCCTCCAATAAGCTCCGAGAGTTTGGTGGATGATGGGTTAACGTCAGGAGTCTTCCTGGACCTGACACTGCATTCTCCTACTTGTGTGTCCTTATGTCCTTCACCTCTGATTTCCAGTATCCTTTTCACAGCTTTCCTCCTCTCCTCCTCCACCTCATTGCACAGTATGGCCTGGAGCACAGCCTGAGAGTGTGCATACCATGCTGATATCTTTACTGTAGGCATCACTATTCCTACCACATCCTTCGTCGGACCCTTTGAGCAGTTTCAGCTGGCACAGTACATGCTTGAGACCCTCCACCCAGCTCTGATTTAACTATGAATTCCACAATTATCCTCAGATGTTTCAACCCTTCAGCTCATGTTTGGAAATCCACAATTTGCAGAACCTTAGAGCAGTGGTGAGCCACCTACTGTGACAGACTGGCCCAATCTCCAAGAGAGCTAGACTCTGAGTTACCTCTCCTGATCTGATGGCAGTGATGATTCTGTAGCCATATGTTTGGTCTGTGCTGAGATCCTTGACTACCTCCTGAGCGAGATTGGGTAGAGGAGGACCAACAGTGACCCTCGTGAAGTTTGGGTTGATCTCCAGTTCAATGGCAGTGTCTAACACCTTCCCTAGGGGCCCTACCACCTGTTGTTGCTCAATGCCTCTTCATCCAGTACAGTCACTAGGTGTCTGAGACTCAACTCCCCTGTGTGCAAGTCACAGACAATCCACACCAACTTCCTGCCGAGCTTGGCCTCCACATAATGCATTACTCCTCCCTCCCAGCCAGTATTCACATTAGTGCTATCACCTCCTATGGCCAAAAGGATCTGGTCTGCTCCTCTCTCTTTTAGCCAGTTCACTAAATGATCAACAATGACCTCAGCATGACTTCTCTCCTCTGTAGCTTCCTCTGGTATAAAATGCCACAAGTATTTCCCGCCTGGTTCATTGCACACTGTGTAGTGTGTTTCTTTAATTAAAGCTTATTCTGCATAAAACAATGAAGAGAGTAATGTTGAAATGTCCTTATTATCTAAGATTATAGATCTAAAAGAATTTATATCAATATGATCAGTGAGGTTTCGACAATAACGATTTAGATGAACTAAGCCTGTTCATAGAGCTGATGGCGCCATCAGCTCGATGAACAGGCTTTGTGTGAAATATAACAGAGTCTAGAACTGCTTTTAGTGTCCTTGTGGCCTAGCCGGTAAGCGTTCCCTAGTCCCACCCAGTAGGTCGAGGGTTCGATTCCCTGCTGGTGAGGTCGTTGATTATATGTTCAAAGTCCGCGTGTTATATGGACTAAAAATGAAGTATATATATGTACCTCGCGTTTCATACCAGCTGGATTCGGTAAAATGCTACTGACACCACATAAGAGGCACGGGCAGTTTCCCAATGAGGTTCACGGCGCCATCAGCTCGATGAACAGGCTTTGTGTGAAATATAACAGAGTCTAGAACTGCTTTTAGTGTCCTTGTGGCCTAGCCGGTAAGCGTTCCCTAGTCCACCCAGTAGGTCGAGGGTTCGATTCCCTGCTGGTGAGGTCGTTGATTATATGTTCAAAGTCCGCGTGTTATATGGACTAAAAATGAAGTATATATATATATATAATATTGTTTCGGAGCTTTCGTCTTTATTCAAGACGTCTTGAATAAAAGACAATGGTGATTTCATTTTCCGCAGATTTTTATCTATCCACGTTATTGTGGATTTACATATATATATATATATATACGTAAATCCACAATAAAACGTGGATAAGATAATTTTGATAAAAACGAGAAAGCAACGTTGTTTCCATTCTCCGTGTGATTTTATAAGATATATATATATATATATATATATATATATATATATATATATATATATATATATATATATATATATATATATATATATATATATAGTTTCTCCTGACCATTGTATTTATTTGTTACTTTCATTTCTTCATTTCCGCAATATTTTTTAAGACAGGGTATTTATTTGATCAATTTATTTGTCTAATAGTTTACACATAATCCAATGTTTGCATAATAAGGCCGCGCTCTTTTATAAGTCCGTTCTTATGTTAATTATAGCTTGGGGTGGGCGTATAGGTAGGGGCAGGCCTATAGGTAGGCGCTGGCTGATAACTAGGGGCGGGTTGGTAGGCTGAGTACTGGGCCTCACCCTCATATTCAACTTGAGCCACGTAACCGGAGTCGCCGTTCACGGTGTAGGTAACCCTCTGCAAACGACCGTCGGGAAGCTGAACATAATAGGATCCCTGAGTATCGTATCCATTACGACCTTCGTTGTGGCCGTAGTCGTTGCCGGAGTTTGCGTCGTTCACTGACCAGTCAAAGTTGTACTGGGCAGGACCCTGGAAGTCAAAATGACACACAAGTCAAGTTATAATCGTAGCATCTCATGGAAATATATAAAAAATATCGTAACTTAAGGACAAAGACAATTTAACGGATTATATAGTTTATTTTTATCATAATTATATGAAAAATAAAATCGTAGAGAAAATATGATTCAGTCATAAGATATAAACACACGCGACAACTTACAGTAGGGGCAGGAGCGTTGTAGGAGGGACGTGGAGGGGTGTAAGGGATAGTGTCAGCAACAGTGACGGCCACAAGGACAGCGATGACGAAAACCTGAAAACCACCGAATCATGAGGAAATTCAAAGTAAAATAGGACCTCAAGTTTTTTTCAAAGCACAGTGATCACAGCAATATAAATCATCCCCATTTGTTTACCTTAAGAACCATGTTGAGGTGTGAGGGAAGAACGAGACTGGTGTCCACTGATGGACGCGCCAGGTTTATATACCGGAGGCTCCACCCATCTTGTCGTGACGTTAAATGTAAGAGGGAAAGCAATAGAGACCTTGACCCTGTTAGTGGCAAGGGGACTTGGCCGCCATTTAACTCCGACCTGAGGAGGCCAGAGAAAAGATAATACTATACGAGGAGCTTAATGACATCCATCATCTTTCTAGAGCGAAATCGGCCTTACTTGTTCTTTAGCATTTCAAGCATTTAGTATCCTTTCACTCACGATGATATTGATATGTGTGGGTTGTTATTATGTTTGTTTTTTACTTTGGAGTATCGTTTTAATAGTGAATCATTGTTTTCTTTACCCTCTTTAAGGACATACTTTCATTGCTTTGTAGAAATAGAAGCAATTTTTCGGTATGATCAATAGTTTCAGATAACAGTGAGTTCTTGTGGTTACTTAAGAGGTAAGGGTATATTTTTTAATTTTCTATTTCACATTTGTGCTGTTCCTTTTTGTTATTACTAGTGATTCCTCCGGTGCATCATATACTGACACCCACTTAAACATCTCATACTGAGTAAGTTAGTGAATGTCTTAACAAGGCTCAGAAGCAGCCCGGAAAAACTCTAGCGAAAGCTTTTTTATTATATGTGTTTGAATAATCCCAATTAACGGTACGACATCAAAATAATAGAGGTGGAGTGCTAACTGTATGTCACAGTTATTGTAAAAATCGTGTTATAGGACCAATGTCAGACTTCAAACTGACTCAATCGTATAAACTATGTGTCTCATGTTTAAGATAAAGACATAACTGTCGTAATGGATGCCGATCAAATCTACCAAACTAATATCTACGGAGCTGATGTCTTATTCTGGACAAAGAGTTGATCAGTTTAATTTTTTTTATTTATTTTTTGTACCTGGTCCTAATTTGCTTCAACTGTAGATAGTTTGTTGTTCTGCTCATCTAGTAACTTACAGGTAAAATAATATGTAGTTAAGGTAATGCATCTGATAATGTAGAGTAAGAGCTTTTAAAGATTTGACGCCAAATTTATCAAATATGTAATGTTAAACATAAAATAAATTCCCGTAAGGTTTAACTGAGTATCATAAAAAGAAGTTCTGAAGGATTCAAGATAAAAAAAAATAACTAATACAAGTTAACAAAATAAATTATCTACTATTAATTTATGGAATGATAGAATATGACCTTAATGGACGATAGGATATTATTATACAGATGGTTTTGGGGTGGAAATAGTCAAGGTTCTGATGATGATGATATGATGAATTTCAAGAATTGAAAGTTATTTTTGAAAACCTGAGGAGCCTTATTTGGAAACGCTTATAATATATTAAAGACCCGAAGAACTTGTTATTATTTTTTATTTCCAAAGTACTTGCTTTGGCAGTACATACAGTATACTAAGAATATATCTGTGGACTCTGACGTCACGATAAAAATGACTCAGATGAACAAAAACGTCAATAGAAGAAATAATCCTAATGCAGTTTGAGTGAAAGCCTATGTATGGGTGAGTTAATCGTGTGAGTCGTCATGGTTGTCATAAGCCAGACGACAATTACCAATGACTGATACGTGTTTTATATCGGCCATTTTTTCAGAGTCGTTTTAGCCCATAATGACTTATTAATTAGGTGTTGGCTGAAGGTAACGGTTTTACATAATATATATGTTTGAATATCAGTCAGTTGGTATTGATATTAATACAAATAATCTTTATGACAAAATATGACACGAACTTTAGTACCTCATAGGCGACAGTCTAGAATTTTGACAAACTAAAAGTATGTAAAGTATTTTTGTTTAACCCTTGAGCTGGCAGGGGCTCGCTTCAGCTGAATAAACTCGTCTGACGTTAACCAGAATAAAATACCTAAGGCATACGTTGTTGAATATAAATAATGCTGAACATATATCCAATTATTGATACTGCATTGATATTAGGCTGAATATCTTGAAGCAATAATTTAAACCTTGTGCCTTGGGATCGATACCACACTCATGATTAAACTGGTTCAATCCAAAAAGATTGTATGTAGATCAGATGTGACATACTAGGATTTACTGGACCAAGAGTATACCGTACTCTGTTATATTTACTACATTTACTGTAACATGTTTTCAGTGAAAGGGTTTTGTAGATTTTTATCTGGTAACACATCCATTAGGTAAATACAATACTGTGTGTCTCATCTAAGAGTGATGGGTCAGAGAATCTATGATAAATAATTGAGATGGGTATAATCAATTAACGAAAGTTAAATTTCAATTAATATTCACTTTTCAAAACCTATAATCACTTTATTTAAAAATCATAATCATTTTATGTATTCACTATAGCACTTGTAAATACCTAAACAAAGTATTTGGCTTATGAAACCATTTTTTTTCACCAAATAGAAATATACATTCAGTACAAGGATGGTCCCAGCTTCTTTCCTCCAAGAAATCTGATCCCAAAACAAAAATCCAGAGGCTGGTCCTCGAGCTATAACAAGAGTTCGTTGTTGTCGTTATAATGTCTTTAGTGCGCAGTAAGGTTAATAATACACTAGTCCAACAGCACTAAAGAAACATTAGAGAAAGAATTCTCTGAAGTGTCTTTTCTTTAAGAGGTCATCTCGTTCTAAGAAATATTAGCAGTTATGTGATTTAGTTACATTATCCAGAAGATATACAAGAATTTCAGAATTAATACACTATAATAATATATTTTTCATTATGGTGCTGTACAATAGATTTAGTATAAAAAATACTAATTCGACGGTGAATCACGACAAGATTTGGTATTGGAAAACTTAACAGAGATTATTTATATTTCTTTCTGTAATTTCTATGATGAAACCTTGTATTAATATACATATGTTAGTTCAACTATACAGAGTAACAAGTGACATACATAATGTATCTAGATAATATATTTTTTGTACTATTTTCGTTCTTAAATCTGATATAGTTTTCATTTAAAACGTTATTAAATTAAATCTTAATAATGTTCAGTTTCTTTACCATTACATCTTTTGGCTTCTCTTCGCCTTTTCTCTATTCTGAATAGGGAAAATAAAAGATTATGTCTTAGATTATTTTATTTCGCCTAATAAATTCCAACGTTAGCATTTTGATAGCAAACAGCAGTTATTGTAAACATCCATTTTATTCTATTCCTGCTTCATAATATTTCTTGTTATTGACTTCGTGGATTAAGTTTAGAACTGGCTAAGAAAAACTGTAATTAGAAATTGTTCAATATATAAGGTGGACATCTACACCTGAATCGAGTCGATATTGATAATGTACCGGTCGGAATATAAATCTACAATAAAGATAAACTTTTTGTCCATGGATGGTTACGACAATAATGATCGACTCGACTCAGGCGATACAAAGTGGGAATTAAAAACTGTGTCCCAGATTCAATTTCACATGAAACTGGATATGGATGTGGATCTGATGAGGTAAACTAAAAAAAATTGAGATCGTCTTTCTCATTCTGGACAGCTGAGTTGGTTCAACTTTGTTATGGCTGGTGTTTCTTGTTTTTTTTTTTTTTGACAGTAAGTGCAGTTTTTTTTTTTTTTTTATATACGGGGATTAGCCCATTCGGGCAGAGGTCACTGACCCACATCGGGCTTGGGGGGCGAAAATGTAATAATAATATTAATAATTATAATAATAATAATAATAATAATAATAATAATAATAATGATAATAATAATAATAATAATAATATTAGTAATAATAATAATAATACGAAATTAAAAAAAAAAATAATAATAATAATTTTAATAATAGTAATAATAAAGAACCATAAAGAAATAAAAAAAATGAAAAATACAGACCAATCGTGAGAAATTATATGCTGTATGTATGTTGCGTTGTCAATAGTAAGAGAAACAACTGACACCTACAATTGTGTGTAAATGAGGCAAAAAGTCAGATCAGCAACCTGGGACTTGGTCACAATTTTTGTGATGCCATATGGCAGCAGGGTCTACCATTAGACAATACAATATGCTTCCAATATCTTCTCCGGCGGTAGTACCTCCCTGTTTGGTAGGTGCCTACTATAAACTACCTCAAGAGTATGTTGTTGACCTGCATCAGGTAACTTATATCCACAAAGAACACAACATAATATTGATATTTATTTCTGTATTTTTTATGATGCACCATTGTATTAATGTACCTATATTAGTTTAACTATACAGACTAACAAGTGACACACATGATGGATCTAGACAACATATTGTTTTGTACTATTTTCATCCTTAAGTCTGATATAGTTCTCATTTAGAACGTTATTAAATTTAAATATTAATAATGCATCCCTTAAATTCTCTTCTCCTTTTCTATATTCTGAATAAGGATTATAAGAGATTATGTCTCAAATAATTTTATTTTGCTTAATAAATTAAACAGAATCCAACGTGAGTATTATGAAAGCAAAGCACCTATATCAGTCTGTTATTATCTTAAACGTAGCTTGGGGTGGGCGTGTAGGTAGGTGCAGGCCTGTATGTAGGTGCTGGTTGGTAGCTGGGGGCGGGTTGGTAGGCTGAGTATTGGGCTTCACCCTGATATTCAACTTCTGCCACATAGCCGGAGTCGCCGTTCACGGTGTATGTAACCCTCTGAAGACGACCGTCGGAAAGTTGAACATAATAGGATCCCTGAGTGTCGTAGCCATTACGAGCTTCATCGTGGCCGAAGTCGTTGCCGGAGTTGTCGTCCCTCACCTTCCAGTCAAAGTTATATTGGGCAGGACCCTGGAAATCAAAATCATTTAAGATTAAGTTTTGATCATGGAATACTTTGGAAAAATAATGTATGAATTATCCAATGAATAAGAAAACTTGGAAGGATACCATTAAGAGATTCCGAATCAGTTAAATAGAACTACAACTACAAGTGTTCTTGCCCGTAGATAAAAAAAAAGTCGTAAAATCTTACAGCAGGGGCAGGAGCATTGTAGGAGGGACGTGGAGGGGAGTAGGATGTGTCAGCGACGGCGAGGGCTACAAGGGCAGCGATTACATAAACCTGAAAAACATCGAATCATTAGACACACGAAAACTAAACAGGATTCGATTTTATAACGACGAACACTGATCAGACTGCACAAACATTACATATCATATTGTTATGCTTACTTTAAGAACCATGTTGAGGTGTAAGACTAGAGAGACTGTTGTCTAACTATATACACGCCAGGCTTATATACTGGAGGCTCCACCCATTTTTTCATGACGTTGCACATAAGAGGGAAAGCTGCAGTGTTCTTGACCTTGATTAATGACCACTGGACGTGACAACTAGTCAATACACTACCTTTGTAGATCAACAGGTGGCGCATCTTCAATTATCATATTTGTGAGTATCGGTCATATTTTATTTTGTGTTTTACTACACATATTTATATTGTAATTTATGCTTTACAAAGGTACTTGGACTTCACTTTGGTCCTAAAGAAATAACTTTTTTCCTTTAAATTCTTTGAAAATTAAATTTCTGAATCAGAAAGTCTCGTTTTACCTGTGTGTTATTGCTATCTGGTTTAAAGTTTCAGAGTAATGATATTTTTGGTATTTATTTTAAAAGGGCCTAAGTAAAGCAGGAATGAAAGGGTTGTAGATTATTTATAAAGCAGAAGGTTCCTGGACATTTTCGCTATCGGGCAAATCGTTATCGGTTCAATATACCTAACCAACTTAATCTAACTTCCCCGCACCTTATCTCACGTAACCTGGGCTAAGTTTACTTAACATTGTGAAGAGCAGTTATTGTAAAACTCCTGTGCTTGGCTTCATCCCCTGAAAATTAAAGACATTATTATCTAAATCTAATAAATATAACACAGTATTCAATAGACTGACGAAGAATAATTCGGTGACATATTGTCCTCCAACCAGTGAAAACTTACGTATGAGTCGACACAGCTTTGCATTGCATATATATATATATATATAAACTGAAGATGAAACAGGTGGACGGCATTAAGAGCAGTTATTGTTAACATCCATTTTATTCTATTCCTGCTTCATAATATTTCTTGTTATTGACTTCGTGGATTAAGTTTAGAACTGGCTAAGAAAAATTGTAATTAAATAATTGTTCAATATATAAGGTGGACATCTACACCTGAATCGAGTCGATATTGATAATGTACCGGTCGGAATATAAATCTTCAATAAAGATAAACTTTTTGTCCATGGAGGGTTACGACAATAATGATCGACTCGACTCAGGCGATACAAAGTGGGAATTAATAACTGTGTCCCAGATTCAATTTAATATGAAACTGGATGTGTATGTGGATCTGATGAGATAAACTAAAAAAAAATAAGAATGACATTTTCATTCTGGACAGCTGAGTTGGTCCAACTTTGATATGGCTGGTGTTTCTTGTTTCTTTTACAGTAAGTGCAGGTAGTATGTTGTTGACCTGCATCGGGTAACTTAGATCCACAAGGAACACAACATAATATTGATATTTATTTCTGTTTTTTTTATGATGCACCATTGTATTAATGTACTTATATTAGTTTAACTATACAGACTAACAAGTGACACACATGATGGATCTAGATAACATATTGTTTAGTACTATTTTCATCCTTAAGTCTGATATAGTTCTCATTTAGAACGTTATTAAATTAAATATTAATAATGCATCCCTTAAATTCTCTTTTTCTTTTCTATATTCTGAATAAGGATTATAAGAGATTATGTCTTAAATAATTTTATTTTGTTTAATAAATTAAACAGAATCCAACTTAAGCATTAAGAAAGCAAAGCTCCTATATCAGTCTGTTATTATCTTAAGCGTAGCTTGGGGTGGGCGTGTAGGTAGGTGCAGGCCTGTATGTAGGTGCTGGTTGGTAGCTGGGGGCGGGTTGGTAGGCTGAGTATTGGGCTTCACCCTGATATTCAACTTCTGCCACATAGCCCGAGTCGCCGTTCACGGTGTATGTAACCCTCTGTAGACGACCGTCGGAAAGTTGAACATAATAGGATCCCTGAGTATCGTAGCCAATACGAGCTTCATCGTGGCCGAAGTCGTTGCCGGAGTTGTCGTCCCTCACGTTCCAGTCAAAGTTATATTGGGCAGGACCCTGGAAATCAAAATCATTTAAGATTAAGTTTTGATCATGGAATACATTGGAAAAATAATGTATGAATTATCCAATGAATAAGAAAACTTGGATGGATACCATTAAGATATTCTGAATTAGTTAAATAGAACTACAACTACAAATGTTCTTGCCCGTAGATAAAAAAAAGTCGTAAAATCTTACAGCAGGGGCAGGAGCATTGTAGGAGGGACGTGGAGGGGAGTAGGATGTGTCAGCGACGGCGAGGGCTACAAGGGCAGCGATTACATAAACCTGAAAAACATCGAATCATTAGACACACGAAAACTAAACAGGATTCGATTTTATAACGACGAATACTGATCCTGCTGCACGAACATTACATATCATATTGTTATGCTTACTTTAAGAACCATGTTGAGGTGTAACACTAGAGAGACTGTTGTCTAACTATATACACGCCAGGCTTATATACTGGAGGCTCCACCCATTTTATCATGACGTTGTGCATAACAGGGAAAGCTGCAGTGTCCTTGACCTTGATAAATGACCACTGGACGTGACAACTAGTCAATACACTATCTTTGTAGATCAACAGGTGGCGCATCTTCCATTATCTTATTCATGAGTCTCGGTCATATTTTATTTTGTTTTACTACACATATTTATATTGTAATTTATGCTTTACAAAGGTACTTGGACTTCAATTTGGTCCTAAAGAAATAGCTTTTTTTCCTTTAAATTCTTTGAAAATTAAATTTCTGAATATGAAACTCGTTTTACCTGTGTGTTATTGCTATCTGGTTTAAAGTTTCAGGGTAATGATATTTTTGGTATTTATTTTAAAAGGAACCAAGTAAAGCAGGAATGAAAGGGTTGTAGATTATTTATGAAGCAGACGGTACTTGGACATTTTCGCCATCGGACAAATCGTTATCGGTTCAATATACCTAACTAACTTAATCTAACTTCCCCGCACCTTATCTCACGTAACCTGGGCTAAGTTTACTTAACAGTGTGAAGAGCAGTTATTGAAAAACTCCTGTGCTTGGCTTCGTCCCCTGAAAATTAAAGACATTATTATCTAAATCTAATAAATATAACACAGTATTCAATAGACT